TTCAAGAAAATTGGGAAAACGATTTCTGTGGTTTTTTTTTTTTATCTAAGCTCACCAGGATATAATAATTTGCAAACAACCAATGACCAGGTAAGTAAATTTACGAGTTCCATTTTTATTAAAAGGAAGGGGATTATGGTTTAAACAAACTTGGGTATTTGAATCTACACTAACTATGTTTTTGTATTTCTTTGAATAACTGCCTTTCACCCATTACGTTTTTATGTCAATTGCGGTCCAACCCTGCATTCCACTAGCTGCTTGCGTCATGATTTAAGGAAAATTGAATCTACACTTCCTGATTATGCTTCCATATAAGTATGATTAATCATGACCTTGCTCTGTTTATGAAGAAGATTTTTAAAAAGTTCCCAATGTTCCGATGTAAAATCTTTGCTCATCCATTTTAATTCCACTCTACCCAAGGAGTCATGATTTGAACAAACTTGTATCTACTTCATGGCTTTGTACTCAGAGGAACGTTAAACAATATACAATCAATCAATCAATCAATCAATCATGGCTTTGTATTTCTAAGAAGATCCTAAGAAATTCTCCTTTCTATATCTCTTCGTAAAATGTATAAGGATATAAGGATATAACGAGCAGAATTCAATCTCGAAAGTTCTAGAAAGTTCATTAAGCAATAAAAATAGTGCATAGCAAACACGGTATTACGAAACATCAGAGTTGCGTTGGGGCGTCATGGAGGAGAGAGCATAAGATAAGATGAGAGAAGATATTTATTCAAAGTCAGGCACATTAACAAAAAACATTAGCTCTGAAGAGCATCCCCTGCCGATCGATTACACCCGCCGTATGCTCTTTTTCATAATTGGGAAATAACGGAAAATATATCGTCAATTTAGTACATGTAAATGATGGACCAACAAATAGTATGAAAAACATCAGTCAACATTTGACTCAATGAAAAATTGTATTTGGTGACAATGTTATTGTATCGACCATAGTACTTATGAAATGATAACTTTAAACGAGACAGCAGATAGTCTTGTATAATCAACTTGTTTGTCAATAATATACCTCGTTTTAGAAATTGTGCATACATAGAGCATGATCTTGCACAGCAAATTAAATGAGAGATATAAACAATTAATGCGAATTGAATTGACGACGGATTTTTTGTTACAAGGCGGGTGTTACTCGTCGGTAGGGGATTCTTTTCAGAGCTAATATTTTATGCTGATGTGTTTTCCCATCATAAATTTCATCATTTTTTTTCTTTGTTCTTAAGAAGTTTTTTGTAAACATGCAACCGATTTTTCACTTTTTCTGAATTGTCTCCCATTCATTTGAACAAGCTTGCATTCGCTACACTCAATAATGCTTCTGGAAAGTTTGGTTAAAATTGGTCAATTGGTTGCAGAGATGTCGAATATGTAAAAATTTAACAAACGGACGGACGTTCAGCTAGATAAAGAGATGGACTTCAGCCAAAATATAATAAATAAAAAATCACAAGAGCTATGAGCTCAGTGAAGTTAAAAAGTGGGAGGAGGGCTAAGACTTACCAACTCAGAACGCCTGACATGAGATTAGGTGATTTGGAGGTGTATTTTTTTCTCCATCGACTGTTGACAATCCTATTATTAAGTGATTTTAAACACCTGATTTCTATTTTGAATCCAAGCAATTGGAAAATACAGAAAAAAAGCCTATCTTTAACAGTTTTAGTTTAAGGAAAATCAAATTTAAGAATAATCTAAACAGATTTGTTCATAGTAAATCATGTATTTCGTAGGCGAATAAAAATCATTATGCATTTGATGAAAAGGTTTGGTTGGTTATCCTCGGTCCTCCCTTGCTAGAGGTGTTTGATTCAATTTACTTTGATAAAAGAACTTGATGCACCCTATCTGATAGGAAATCTTGCTAGAGAAGAAGGCCTTAAAGTTGTATTTTTACTCTCTTTTAAAGATGTAGAAAATTGATAACGTTTATCACATTCATCACCAATAGTATATAGATTGGGTCTTTTGTTATAAAGACAGCTGATTTAGTACCTCATTGTTAAAACTCAACACAATGCTGAGAGAAGTCGTATTCCTGATGTGTATTGTCACAGTGTTGTGTCAAGAATCCCAATTCGTAGTATAGAATTCATGAATTGTCTTCTTGAAATTAATTTTATTTAAACAAATGACTCTTTGTCAAGTTTGGGTTTAGTGTAGAACTAGATATTAGGAAGATGCTGTAGTATATGGTTGATATGGTATTCTATTTCTATGGTAATTTGGGAGCAATCCAATGAAAATTTCTGCCAAACTTTTGTTTTACGTAAACATTAATATAAATCTACAACTTTTTATGAATTATGAAGAATTATGTTCTGTTTAAACGTTGCTTCGATATATCTCACTGAGCTTGAGATAAAAACACCCTGGAACTTAATTCGTATGATTGTGCTTCAATGTTAACCCCCTCATTGAGGACAATGATTGCAAAATTACAATAATAATTTTATTTTTATGTTTAACGTGATGGCTTCAACTTTTCTATCGTCAATTTTCTACACGTTTACAAGTACCATGCGAAGTAAGGAGTGTTTCATGCAAACCCTAAAATAAAACCTTACAAAATTACTCAATGACCATCAAAAATTATGCTACCATTCTTCCGTAACATAAACAATGTGAACAATTATCTGGGGATCTATGAATTAATTAGTTTTTTAAATTTATAATAAAGTTATTTAAAAAGTACATTATTTTAAAAAAATAAACAGTAAAAAACCGGGAATTCTTCTTATTATTTTTTTTGTTTAAGTTCACCTGGACGATTAATATGTATAAAGTGATTTCAACACCCGCAGTTTCAAGCGCCTTTGGGCAGAAAATCAATGCATTTTATTTTGGTACACGCATCAGTGTTACACATCATTGAACATGCTAGTCAACAATGACCCTAATTTCAATCTTTGTAATGCGAAAAAAATTTGAAAAATGGGATGTCTAATTATTTTTAATTAGTGCCAATGCAAACTTTAGTACATAATTTCACAATAAATAATAAAATAGACACACAATGTCATATTCTTTTGTAGATATTTTTTTCTCATAAAACCTAAACAATGTAGTTTTTTTTAGGAAAAAAACCTCCTATCTTTCTTTGTAAGAACTTCATTTTTTTTAATATTCTAAACTAAATTTGTGTGTATATACTGTGTTGTGAGATGTGTATTGTTTCATCATGTATATTATTAGTAACATTAAGTTTCTTGAACATTCCAGAGTGGTCAATATGTTTAGTCATTTTTTCTAGAACATTCTTGAACTTTGTTTATGTCTAGAACTTTCCAGGAATATCATGTATTTACAATTTCTAGAATATTCTAGATTTATATTACTGTATAAATACCCTGTCAATTCGATGCATAGATACTATTGTCGTATAAGCATCATTGAGGTATTACTGGGATATAATTTCACTGGGACATTGTGTGCAGCAACGGACACTCTGATGTATGTATTTTTAGATTTTTGCTAAGTTTGTACTTAATGATTTGTATATTACTGTAAATAAATTATTGTTAAGTTTAAACTGTGTGATTGATCTTTGCTGGCATTTAGGGTTATTCTGACCCATAACAGAATTGGGGGCTGGTCCGGGATAAAGAATTTTTTTTTTGCACTTTTGCAGTTTATTGTAAGAATTTTGTTTATTGAACCGTTAAATTTGAATATAAGCCAGCAAAAATCAACATGGTATTTTCGGTCACAGACTTTCTTAGTTCACCAAGTGTTCAGGTTTTTGATACGTTAAAAAAGGATAACTTGATCGCATTAGGTTTGCATTTTGGGTTAGATGTTAAATCCTCTCAGAGAAAGCAAGACATTAGAATTAAGGTTGCAAACAAATTAGTAGAAGAAAACATCTTTGAAAAATACGATCTTCCAGAATATACAGTTAAATCAGAGTTAGGCTCTTACAAAATGGCAGAATATCAGTTTCAATTAGAGTTAGAGAAAATGCGATTAGAAAGAGAAAAAATTAGAAAGAGAAGATCGAGAAAGAGAAAGAGAACGAAAATTTGAATTAGACAAATTAGAAAGAGAAGAAGCAGAGCGTGAACGAAAATTTGAATTAGACAAATTAGCAGCAGAAAGAGAAGAGCGAGAAAGAGAGCGTGAAATGAACTTTGAATTAGAGAAATTAAAATTACAAAACCAACCAGAACCGTCAGTTGTCAAAACTGAATTTGACGCAGCAAAAAATATCAGATTAGTTCCAAAATTTCAAGAAAAATCTGTAGACAAATATTTTCCCCAATTCCAAAAGTCGCAGAGAATCTTAAATGGCCACAACACGTTTGGTCAACAATGTTACAAAGTGTACTAGTTGGCAAAGCAGCTGAGGTATACTCTGCACTAGGGGTAGCTGAAAGTTCAGACTATGAGAAGGTCAAAGCAGCAATATTAAAAGCATATGAATTAGTACCTGAAGCATATAGACAAAAATTCAGAAAGTATAGGAAGTTTGATAATCAAACATTTGTTGAATTTTCACGAGAGAAAGAAGATTTATTCGATCATTGGTTTAGATCTAAAAATCTTGATAAAACTTTTGCTAATTTGCGCCAAGTCATCCTGGTAGAAGAGTTTAAGGAATGTGTTTCTCAAGATTTGAAAACACATTTAGAAGATAAGAATGTGAAAACTCTTGAAGAGGCAGCAGTCATATCTGATACTTATGCTCTGTCTCATAAAAAGAATTTTGTATCAAGAACTCAGACTAGCAGTAATTCTACCAATTCAGACACATATAAAAAGAGTGGTTCAGGGTCTCAGTCTTTCACAAGTTCCCAGTCTCCATCCCAAGGTGGTTCTAAGTCCGGTCCAGGACGTTTTGAAGGATCTTCTGGAATAGGGTCGCTTCCTACTTGTAGTTATTGTAAGAAAAAGGGTCATCTGATCAGTGAATGCTTTAAACTTAAGAGAAAAAATGATTTTGATAAAACTCAACCACATGCTTGTGCGGCAGTTAGAGGTGATAGAGAAGCCTTAGTTTCGATTTGTTCTGACACTCCTGATGTCCAGGGTTCACAGTCCAGTGCTATTGATTCTATGGAG